CTTCTCTTCTTTTCACAGCTATTTGTAAGGCCTCCTCAGACAACCATTTTGTCTTTTTGCATTTCTTTTCCACGGGGATGGTCTTGATCCCTGTCTCCTGTACAATGTCATGAACCTCCGTCCATAGTTCATCAGGCTCTCTGTCTATCAGATCTAGTCCCTTAAATCTATTTCTCACTTCCACTGTATATTCATAAGGGATTTGATTTAGGTCATACCTGAATGGTCTAGTGGTTATCCCTACTCTCTTCAGTTTAAGTCTGAATTTGGCAATAAGGAGTTCATGATCTGAGCCACAATCAGCTCCAGGTCTTGTTTCTGCTGACTGTATAGAGCTTCTCCGTCTTTGGCTGCAAAGAATATAATCAAAGAATACATGTTAAGTGGTGTCAAACTTTCTCAGTCAATGGGTTGTTGAGTTCTTAAATGTCTTTGATGATTTTCTGTCTAGTAAGGGGTGTTGATGTCTCCAACTATAATTGTGAATCTATCTACATGTCCTTTCAGCTCTATCAGTTTTCAATTCATGGATTTTGAGACTCTGTTGTCTGGTGCATACATATTTGGAAATTAAAATAGAAGTGCGACATATCACAATATATGGGGTGCAGCTGAAGCAGTGCAGGTAGGAAAATTTATAGCACTGAATGCTTACACTAGAAAAGAGGGCAGGACTCAAGTTAATAGTTTAAGTTCCTGTCTCAAGAGACTAGAAAGAGAAGGAAAATAAAACCAAAGAAGGCAGGAGAAAAATAGTAATTTAAGAGCAGTCATCAATGAAATTAAACAGGAAAACAATAAGGAAATCATTTAAAAATATTTATTTATTTATCTGTGTCTGGTCTTAGTTTTGGCACATGGGATCTTTCCTTGAGGTGCATAAACAGGACACTCTAGTGTGGTCCATGGGCTCCAGAGTGTGGGGGCTTAGTAGTTGTGGCACGTGGGCTTAGTTGCTCTGTGGGATATTAGTTCCCCGACCAGGGATGAAAGCCATGTCCCTTGAATTGCAAGGCAGATTCTTAACCACTAGACCACCAGGGAAGTCTCCAAGAAATCAATTTTAAAAGCTAGTCCTAAAAAATGTTTATAAACTCTAGTAAGACTGAAGAATGTAAAAAGAGAGAAGACACAAATCATTAAGATCAGGATGAAACAAGAGACATCACTACAGATCCTGGGACATTACAAAGATAATAAGGCAAGCTATGAACAACTTTACATTCATAAATCCAACAACTTAGAAGAAATGAACAAATTCCTCAAAAACTATAAACTACCAAAACTCAACCAAGATGAAATAAATTACCTGAATAGTCCTATAACTATTTCAAAAATTGGTATAAATAAAAGCCCCTCTCCCCCAAAGAAATCCTCATGATCAGAAGAAGTAGCATCAATTTTATACAATTTCTTCTAGGAAATAGAAGAGATAGGAATATATCCCAGCTCATGTTAGGAAGTTAGTATTACCCTGTGTGATACCCAAACCCAGGAAAGACAGTACCAAAGAGAAAGAGAGAGAGAACTACAGACTAATATTCCTTATGAACTCAGGGGAAAACATCTCAGCAAAATATTAGAAAAATGAACTTATAAATATATAAAAAGAATTATATAACATGGCCAAGTGAGAGTCAATGGTAAACCCTTGAAAATCAATCAAAGTAATCTATCACATCAATTGGCTAAAGAAGAAAAATCATATGCTTATACTAATACAGAAAAAGCATTTGAAAAAAATCCATCCATTCATGAAGAAATCTCTATCAAACTAGGAATTGAGGAGTATTTTCCCTAATAATAAATAACATCTGAAAAAAAACAAGCACCTGGCATCACAATGGTGAAAAATGGAAGTTTTCCCTCTGTTGTTCAAGAACAAGACAATGATATCTGCTCTCACCACTGTTTTCCAACATAGTATTGGAAGTTCTAGTCAGTGTAATAATATAAGGAATGAAAGGTAGACAGGAAAGGAAGAACTAAAACTATTCCCATTGGCAGATGACATAGTAGGAAATCCCAATGAACCTTCTATTTTTTTAAGAATGTCTTTTGGTTGCTGTTCTTTTTTTAAAAAAATAATTCTATTTGTTTATTTTTGGCTGTGCTGGGTCTTTGTTGCTGTGCAGGCTTCTCTCTGGTTGTGGAAGTGGGGGATACTCTCTGGTCGCAGGGCATGGGCTTCTCACCGTGGCAGCTTCTGTCCTTGCACAGAATGGGCTCCAGGGCTCTCGGGCTTCAGCGGTTGCAGCGCATGGGCTCAGTAGGTGTGGGCTTCTGGGCTCTAGAGCAAGGTCTAAATAGTTGAGGTGCATGGGCTTAGTCACTCTGAGGCATGTGCAATCTTCTTGGTCCAGGGGTCGAACCCATGTCTCCTGCATTTGGGATTCGACCCCTGGATTCTTTACCACTGAGCCACCAGGGAAGTCCCCCAACGAACCTTTTAAAAGAAAAAAATCCAAACCTTCCAGCACTAAGTATACTCTGTATGATTGTGTGTGAGATCAGCACACAAAAATCAATTGCATTTCCATATACTTACAATGAACATGTGGAAATGGAAATGTAAAATACAATACCATTTATAATCACTCTGAAGAAAATGAAATATTCAGTTATGAACTTGACAAAATGTGCAGAATCTTTATGTTGAAATTACAAGATGATTTTAAAAAGTCAAAGAAAACCTAAATAAATAGAGACATTTTGTGTTCATAAATTGGAAGACCTAACACAGCAAAAATGTTCTCTCCGAATTGATCTATAGGTTTAACATAATTCTTACCAGAATCCCAGTAAGGTTTTTTTTTTTTTTTTTTTTTTTTCTATAGTGTACATTGAATTGGAGGGGAAAGAGGCAAGATATCTGCTGAGGAAATCACTCTTTTGGAGCCTATAACGAGTGATGGTTTATAGCATGTTCCCCACGAAGTTCTGATTCTGTGATTATGTCAGGGAGCAACCCTAAGCTGCAGCTTTCCCAGATACTATCTTGACTTCTAGGAATTGATGCTGGTGATGTCATTTTAATCTCTTGTCCATCCATCTACCTAAAATCCATAGATGNTAAAACAGTGCAGCCATTCTGGAAAGTAGTTTGGCAATTTCTTACAAAACTAAACATGCAACTACCATATGACCCAGCCATTGCTCTCCTAAGCATTTATCTCAGATGAATAAAACTTATGTTCACACAAAACCTGTACACAAATGTTAACAGCAGTTTTTTTCATAATAACCAGAAGCTGGGCACAGCCCAGATGTTCTTCAATGACTGAATGGTATATCCACACAGTAGAATCCTATGAAACAACCAAAAGGAAGGAACTATTGGTACACTTGGGTTTCCCATGTGGCGCTAATGGTAAAGAATCCGCCTGCCAATGCAGGAGATGCGAGAGAAGCAGGTTCGATCCCTGGGTCAGAAAGATCCCCTGGAGGAGAAAATGGCACCCCACTCCAGTATCCTGGAAAATTTCATGGGAAGAAGAGCCTGGTGGGCTATAGTCCATGGGCTGCAAAGAGTTGGACATAGCTGGGAGACTGAGCACACACACATTGATACACTTGACAACATGGATAGATCTCCAGGAAATTGTTCTCAGTGCAAATGCCAATCATTAAAGGTTGCAAACTGTATGATGACATGCATATAGCATCCCTGAGCTGACAAAATGATAGATGGAGAGCAGGTTAGCAGATGCTAGGGGGTGTGTGGCATGAATGATGGAGATGTTCAGTGTAACTAACTGTGGCAGACAAGTGAACCTCTGCATTTAATAAAAGTACACAGAACAAAACACACATGTACACAGATGAGTGCATGCGGCAAGGCCAATGGATTTTGTCAATGCCAGTTTCCTGGCTTGTCACACTGTCCTATAGTTTGCAAGACGTTATCACTGGGAGAAACCAGGTGAAGGGTACAAGGAGTCTCTTTATTATTTTTCACAGTTGCATGTGGATCTACCATCCTATCAAAACAAGTTTTAAACATCTGAATAAACATGTTAAAATGTTTATTATGCATCCATCTCCAACACACATCTCACAGAGGGTGAAGTGGTGTGAACAGATGGTGTTCCACTGAAGAAAACACTCCATGTCCATTTGGCATATATCCCGGAACAGGTCCTGTGCTGGCCCTGCAGAGAAGGTATGTTCATGCTGGCCTGAATGCTGGCCAGGAAGCTGGCTGGGGTGCTGGGTGAGGATGCTAAGCCAGGATGCTGGCTGGATTGCTAAACCACGATGTTGACTGAGATACTGGGCCCTTCCCTCGCTGACCTGCAGGGGGCAGTCTGCCCATGCAGTACCGTGGCCCAGAGTGGAGGCTCCACACCCAGTGGAGAGCCGGGCTCGGCTTCTGAGTCCCAGCTGTGTGACTACCAGCTTTTTCTCTCTTCTTTCTTTTCCTCCCCTCCCTTCCCTTCTCTCTCTCCACCTCTCTCATGCACACACACACGCACGCACACACGCGCGCGCATACACACACACACACACACGCATTCATGTGCGCCCCAGAGTCCATGAGCTCATTCTACCTATGGCTGGCAGGCTGGGTGGGATCATTTCTCCTTAAGCTCTTTGTCTGGCTGTTTCAAATGACTCATGAGTGGCTTTCACCATCCCCCCCAGGGAGCCCCCCTGCCTGGCCCCATAAACCTTCCCAGTTAGGCCCCAATTAGGCAATGTTTTCTGATAAGCAGCTGTTCACCCACTCCTTCCAGACCACCTGAGAGAACTGTTCCTGGTTCTGGGCAGCATCAAGGGCAGTGAAACCTCCCCAGCCTGCCCCTCGAGATCCTCCCCAGACCTCATTCTCATCTTGCTGTTGGCTCGGCAACTCAGGCCTGACGAGTGGCTGAGGAGTAGGTGGGCATCAGCTGGGAAGGTGGGCCTTCTCCCGTCTGCTATGCCTTCTCTCTGGCTCTGGCCCTGGGAGGAGGTGACTGAGGAGGTCACTGAACTGACAGTTGAGGCCTTGCTGCTGCATCCAAACCTGGCCTTGAAGGTGTCAGGTGGGCCTGGCCTAGGAAGGTGTTCTGCTTGTGCCCAGCCTGGGGTCATGCTGAGCACTCTAGCTTTGCAGGAGTTTGCTGTCATGCTGAGACCTCTGTCAGCTGGGCGTCAGCGTGCTCTGGACCTGTTGCTGTGAGTGATTCTGGCAGTTCACAGGGCTAGGGTCTCCACGAAGTTGGATGTTTGCAAAAGTGTCAGTGAGCCTTCAGAGCTTGCCACCCTAGTTTTTCCCCTCCTGGGGTGGGCTTTCTTTCAGAGCATACACCACCCCTGGTGCTGATAAAGTCTTCTTTCAGAGCATACACCACCCCTGGTGCTGATAAAGTCCTCTTGGAGCTGTGCCCATCAGCCCCTTGGAGACCATAACTCTGGTTAGGAACACGTACAGGTTGGAGACCATGCAGACAGCCTGGACCACTCCGTGCTCTCTCGCACGCTGCATGGGGTGGCCGCAGCCCCTGCACTAGTGACAGCTTGTCCTGCTGGTACTCAGGATGTCCTTTCCCAGACAGCGTGCCAAACAGACCTAGGTGGCTGTGGCAGGGGAATAAGGAAGCCTCAAGCCCAGGCTTCTCCAACAGAAATATGGGACCACTTTGCCATTGGCCAGAGCATGCTATGCTGCAAGAAAAAGCTCTGACCTCCTGAGATAACACAGCCTTCTCATGCTGTGCTGAGGCCAGCAAGATCACCTGTGAGGTGGCTCAGCAGGTAAGAGCATGGGACAGGGGTCAGGCGTTCCTTCTCCCACCCCTAGGTTGCTTTGTGCCCTTTGGGCTAATTTGCTGGGTTCTCTGGGCCTCAGTTTACCACCCAGTGTCAACCAAACAATACACTTGTCTGTTAAGGACTGTTCCACATTAATTTACCTTCCTTCTCCACACTGGGCACAGAGAGGCCAGGCCAACACGGAATGGCTAGGGGAGGTGTTGCAGGTGACCAGAATCTGCAAAGGTGGGTTGGGGCTTGTGTGCGGGGAGGCAGGAGATGGGGACAGGGAAGTGTGAAGCACCTGGCCCCCTGTGAAGAGGTCTAGACTGCATGGGTGCCTTGAGGTTCATAAGTAGGGCCATCTCGGTTTTTGTCTGCAGGATAGGAAGGCCCACCAGTGGTCATGGCGGAGGTATGAACGCAGGCAAGGGCAGGGCAAAGTGGTCAGACCTGATGGAGAGGTCTAAGGTCTGGGAGACTCCTGGGGGAGGCAGCCAGTGTCCCCAGGTCCAGCTGGAGTGGTAGCTGGTGGCACCACCTCAGTTGCTGCCATCACCCCAGGGGCGGCCCCACCTAGACCCTCAGGTGTATTCCCAATGTTACTATGCACCACGCAGTGCCACCCACCTCACCCTTCTCCCATGTTGCACTGCCTAGGAAAGCCTGGTCCTCCTATTCCCTGGACTGAAGGTGTCTCTGAGAATCCCTTCCCTGCTGATATGCGGGGGAGGCTTAGCACTCAAAAACAGGTGCTTTGCGCTGCTCAGGCTGGCTGCGCTAGCACCCCAAGCTGCTATGAGTTGGCAGCCCCTGATGAAAACCCCGATTCCCCTTTCCAGCCCCCACTGCACCAACTGTGGACCCCCTCCCCCAAGTTGTTGGCTGGAACCTCAGCTGGCTGCCTCTTTCTTTGGGACTTGCTGGGTGGCCAAAAGAGAACTCTCCACTCCCTATGGAAAGAAACTCTATTAAGGCCTGCAGCGCCTTCCAGACACATTTACAATCTCACATTTCAGTTTTTTTGGATGCAATCTCTGTGCCTTTAAAGATGTCGTCAGTCTGCATCCCCTCGGCTCATGCCTCACGCTTTCGGGGTGTGGGTGCCAGGACTTCAGGTGGAGGCCTTGGGGGTTGAACTCAGGCACTTGGAGGTGGGGCAGGACAGGGTGTCCCCTAGCCCTCCAGCCTGGGTGGGCTGGAGCTGCTTTGGTGTTCTCTTTGCTGTGCCAGCCCTGTTGAAGTGGCTGAGAGTGGTGTGAGCAGACGAGAGTGTTGGAGAGCTCCCTCCTACATGAGGAGTCCCTGGGGTGGGGGATGACGTGAGGCTGGTCACACCCACAGAAGCAAAACCATGGGTGGAGGTTTCTGCAGCGTGACGTTACAACTTAGAAAAAGACATTATGATTCCCTAGAGTTGGATGCGTCTTGGATGGGGAAATTGAGGCCCAGAGAGGAAGTGATTTGCCCACGCCCCATCTCCCCTCTGCCCTCTTTTCACCAGCCCAGCACTAGGAGGCCCCCAGGGAGGATGGGGTGTGCTCACCTGGGTGGCCTTCCAAGAGAGGTGGAAGCCCAAGAACATGTCCCGCTCCATGAGCCACCATCAGGGTAGCTTCTTTTGCCCTCCAGTTTGGCCTTTCGGTTCTTGTCCTGAGACACGTCACCAAGCAGATCTCCAGAACCCATTAACCCAGCCTTTGGAGGTGCTCAGACCCCCAGACCCTGCGTCGCTCTGCCCAGAAGCAGCAGCTCAGTTCGGACGGCTGACAGAAAGCTGTGCTTTCCCCTGCAGGCCCAGGGCTTGAGGGCCCCCACAGTTCTGGCCAAGTGGACCCATGGAGCCTCCAGGGTCACCTGAGGGCTGGCATTTCGTGGACGCTTTCCCCACATCCTGAACCTCAGAGCTCTCCCCTCCCACTGTGGCTGTTGACATGGAGAGGCCCTGGTCCAGGGGTCTCTAAGGATTCTCCTTGAGCCCATCCTGTTTCCTGTTGATCTGTGTTATCTGTTCTAATCTGGGGTTTGGTTCTCGGACCCTGACTTACTTCAGCAGTGACTCTGCATCGTCTCTCCTCCCGGTCCCTGGCAGCTCCTATTGCCTCTCCCCGTGCCAAGCCCCCTTCGTCCAGTCCTCACAGTAGAGGTTCTGAGAAGGAGGTCACCCGAGGATCAGCGCTGGCAGTGACCTCAGCCAGCTCCTCCTTCGATTTAAGAAGAGGGAGACAGAGGTCCCAAAAGGTTGATCTACCCGGCCGCACCACCGCTGATCAGGTCGCTTCATTCCCAAGACAACAAACCAGGGAGCAGCGCCCGTCTGGCCTCGCAAAGGCAGGGGCATCACCTGCTGGCTTGTCTCCCCTTTCACGCAAACTCCTCTGGGAGCCGACAAGCTAGCTCCAGCTCCGGGCTGACACCCGAGTCCCCCGCGGCACCACCCGCTTGCGTGCCGGCCAAGAGCTCCGCCCCGGCCCCGCCCCAGGTCACACCCCGCCCCTGCAGCTGCACCAAACCTCCCACTTCCAGATTCCCCCGGCGTTCCCACTCGCTCGCTCCCACCCGGCTAGCCGCCCAGCGCCAGCCTCGCCGTCTTGCCCCAGGCCACCAACGCTCCGACTTGGCTCCACCCACGCCCACAGCCGCTCGGGGGCTTGTTCCCTTCTCCGGGCCCCCGCCGCGCTCCCGCCCCTTCCGGCCGCCCGGGTTCCCACCCGCCCCTCGCGTGCCTCGCTTCCCACGCGCGAGGCGCGCCCTGAGACCCGAGTGGCCCGGAGGCACCAGGGCTGGGCGGTGCGCTGGCTCGGATTTCGGCCCGCCCCCGGCGCCGGCGACAGGTGCGCGGGGCGCGGTGCCCGGGCTGGCGAGGGGCGCCGGGTTGCCTGGAGCTGTTTGTTTGCGGCGCCCGCGTCGCTGGGTTCGGGAGTCGGTGTCCCTGTGGCGCGGCTCACGGAGAGGGGCCGGCGTGCCCGACGGGCTGGCGTGAGGCCCCGGTCCTCCGTGACCCCGGAGCCGTAGTCCCTGTGGCCGCGCCCGCGGCCGTGCGCGAGGCTCCCTGCAGCTGCGGGACCAAGCTCTGGTTATCGGCTGCCTTTGGCTGGGGTTTCTTGCCAAACGTCTGGAGCCTCCCTGGCCCCTGCACACCCACCCGCCTTGCAGTTTCCCCCTCCTTTCTCTCCCGGAGAAGTTAATTTAACAACAACAAAAAAATACGTACAAAATCCAGATGTTCCTTGCACTGAGCCCCAAAGGGGGAAAAAACTCCAGGCTGGAGGAATTTTATTTTTCTTGCGCTTTGCTTCTGACGTTCGCTTGGGCCGCGACCCGCGGGAGCGCGTCTGTGGGACCTCTCTGGTGCGCCGGGCCCGGGCGGGCTGTGAATGCTGCCTCCAGCCGCCTCCCGGGTCGCTGCCCCGCGCGCTTCTCCGCAGCAGCAGTGTTTGTGGTTTTGGCTCGTCGCGCCCCATCGTTCTTTCTTGCCTTTCCTGGTTGCTCGCTCCCAGATCTGGGCTGTCCTGCCAGGCGAGCTCTGGGGACCCTCGCAGTACCCTGCAGCTGGGCCCCCGAGGTTTGTGTGGCATCGTGTGGGCAGCCCTGCGGCTCTCCCCAGCCGCCCCGCCTCCTGGCCCCGTGCCGCTCCTGGAGCTGAGGGCAGCCTCGAGTCCCGCCCAGACCCCGTCCTGGGTGCCTTATGCCCGTTGCGGGCTGCCGCCCTGCACGCGTTGTCACCTGTTCCCTCTCCCGTGGACCAGGCACCGGCGCGCAGCGGCCTGGCCGGCAGAGGGCCCCGTTGGTCCAGAAATGTGGCTCTGCCAGGGCGGGGAGCGGCCGACTGGGCGAGAAGCCCTGCAGGTGTATCCTGTTCTCAAAGAAAATAAAACATTTTCATGGGAAACTTTCCCTTTGTGTTTTTCTCCCCCCGCCCACTTCTCCTGTTCCCTTCTCCTGGGTTGTCTTCCAGGGTCAGCTCCTTGTCTTCTTAGCCTGGAGACCCCATCCCGCAGCCAGGGCTGTGGCTCTGAGTCTGGCCTGCCTGGGGCTCAGGCTGTGCAGAGGCTGGCACGCCCCTGCATGCCGTCTCTGCAGCCTTTGCCTACCCTCTCGGGCAGAGGGAGGGTCAGAGGCTGGCTGTCTGGCTGCAGGTCCGCGGTGAGTCACGATGGCCTGTCAGCCAGCTGTGCCTTTGCGCTGTCCAGGCGCAGCCGTGGGTCTGCTCACCAGGCTTCAGACACACCCTGGGCTCGTCTGCGCCACTGTGCTCTGCTCGGAGTCCCTGCTGCCAGCTTTTACTCTCTGGGAAGATCGGATCCACAGGGTGGTTTTCAGGGTCCTGGCTCCCATCCTTCACCGCCACCCCGGTAGCATCCCTCTCTTTCTCCATCTTTTCTCTGCTCTTTGTACCTCCAGGGAAGTCTCCTTAGCTCCCTTGAAGAGAGTAACCCCCAGGGGCTGTGTGGCAAGTTGAGAGGGTTTGGTGCCCCTGTGGCTTCTCCAGCTAGCCCTTTTGGCCCTGCTCTGTAATCCCAAAGGTCACCTCAAGTGGGCTCCTCAAGGCCCACCCCATGGAAGACTGCCCCATAGGAAGAAGTTGTGCTTCCTCTGCTGGGGCGTACTCCCCCTCTGTCTCCTCCACGCCAGGCAAGAGAGACAAGACTCAGCTTGGTGGACGAAAGTCCTGGAGGGTGGCAGGCTCTGCGCCAGCTGAGCAGGCAAAGGCGGGAAGGGACCTGGTCCTGGAGCCCACTCAGGATCGCCCCGGGTGTAAAGACCCAGCCTCTGGCCGGCAGTGAGCAGCTGAGCCTGGGTCTGGGGCTGTTTCTCCTGGCAGGGGGAGGCGGAGATGGCCCAAGGCGGGCAGGGCCAGGCAGGGCTGGGCCAGAGCCAGGGGGCCTCCCTGTGCCTTGTGCTGGGGCTCCCCTCCCCACCCCGAGTACCGAGGGAACAGGGGGAAGGCGCTGGGATCCAACCCTCCTCTCCCTTCCCCCACTCTGAAAGCTCTGCCTGGCACCGGGGCGCACAGGCAGGGCAGCTCCAGTTACAGCCCAGAAACCCGGAGAGGCTGGCCTGGGGGAGGATCACGTGGGCGGTGGGAGCCCGCCCGGCCTGCCCCCCCACCCCCCCTCAGCCTGCAACCCAACCCGCCCGGCCTCCGCAGTCCTCCCCAGCCTCTGGCCACCAGGCTGGCCCTCCAGGTCACCTGCCTGCCATGGAAAAGGGGCTCCTCTCTCCGGCAGGGCCTGACCCTGCTTTTCGGTGTGATTAGCAGGTGGTGTTTCCATGATTCTCCTGGGGCGACAGAGGTGTCTGTGCTCTGGGGGCCTAGACAGCTTGGCCTGATGCCCTCTTGGAAGGAAGTAGAGAGTGGCTCTAAGCAGGAAGAGGCTGTCCCAAGGGCTTGCGGCACGTTTGAGATACAAACTTGGACACCCCTCCCTGCCACCAACGACCTCCCCCCACTCCCCCGGCCTCCCTGTTCCACTCCATAGACCTGGGTGGGCTCTCCGATACTCAGCTTCTCTCTTGGTGTTATCCTCAGGTGAGAATATGGAGGTAAAGGGTGGGCCGTGTATGCTGAAATCTGCCCAGGAAGGTGATGCCCTGGGGCAAGCCACCCTTGTGCTTCTCTGAGCCTGGAGTTAGGGGCTGGGGCTGGGATTTGGGGATCTGTGCCAGCCAAAGCATTGCCTGGCCTCCCTGGTGCTTTACTGCCTTTTTCTTAGAGGTCCCATGTGCGGAGCCAGCCCCCGGCAGAGGCCCCTAGGGAAGTTGCGAGATAGGCATCCAGGAGCTGCCCAGGCGAGTGGAGGCCTGAGGCTTCCAAGGTGATTAATCTTCAAAAGAAGCAACAAGGGGCACAGTGAGCACTGAGGCTCTTCCAGGTGTTGGCCTCCGCACTCCACATTATACTGGAAGCATTTGCAGGTTACAGGGGGGGAGCAGGGCACTGCTGTGAGGTCTGTGGGTTTGTCCCAACTTTCTGTTCCAGGCAGCCTGGAGGCCTGCATGGGTGAAGCAGCACTAGGAACGGCNCTGGCCATCCTGATAGACTTGAGGTAGTATCTCCTTGTAGTGTTCATTCACATTTTCCTGATGACTGGCTTCCACAGTGTCTCAGAAGGTAAAGACTCTGCCTGCAATGCCGGAGACCCAGGTTCGGTTTCTGGGTTGGGAAGATCCCCTGGAGTAAGGGAATGGCTACTTACTCCTTATTCTTGCCTGGAAAATTCCATGAACAGAGGACCCTGGCGGGCTATAGTCCATGGGGTTGCAAAGAGTCAGACATGACTGAGTGACTAACACTTCCCTGAGAGCTAGTGATATTGAGCATCTTTTTATGTGCATAGAGGCTATTTGCAATGTCTGCTTTTGGGGAAATGTCTATTCAGTTTCTTTGCCTAATTTTTAGCACAGTTGTTTGTCTTTCTGTTGAGACGTCAGAGCTCCTTAAATGTCCTAGATCTCTTCTTGGACCGAGGAGAACCTGTTTTCTTGACCTGTGAACCAGCAGGCTGCCTCTCAGCCCTTCCTAAAGGTTTGCATCCCTGGGCTGTCACAACAGACCTTCCTGTTTGGCCCCCAGGGGACTGTGTGGGGGCAGGGGTGAAGGTTCGCTTGCTGGGGTTTGGTCTGGGGTTAGGGCTTTGCCGCAGACTGGGGCTAGCTGTGGCCCCTGGCACTGTGCTTAGGGGTGCTTTCATGGGGTGCGGGTGGTCTCTGAATGCAGGTCAGGGAGGGTCAACCTCCTCCGCTTCTCTGAATACTGAGCCTTGGGTTCCACTGGGGGTCCTGTGTGGCCACATGCCTGCTGGCTGCTTCAAGGAGAGGCTTCCAGCTGGTCCCTGGAGTAGAAAGGAGGAGAGAAGGCTTCCAGGGCGGGAGGAGCCGGCCTGATGATAGAAGGATGAGGCTTCGTGGTGAGCCAGTGAGTGGGCGGGGGGCGAGATGGAGACCTGCTGAGAGTGCCACAGCCCTCGTAGGGGCAGGGAGGGATGTGGGGGGCTCGGGAGACCCAGAGTCCGCGGGGGTTAGGGAGGGGCTGGCAGGGTGAGGTGTCCCAGGTGATCCCCTGGCCAGGAGTGGGGGTGCTGTAAGGTAAGTCGGAATTCGGGGAGTCACGCGAGCCTGGGTGGCAGGGCGGGTGCTACCCACAGAGACCCACCTCAGGACAGACGTGCCCTAAGAAGGCCGGCAAGGC